GATAAAAGAAGCTGCCAGGTCCGGGACTCGAACCGTGGTTGGCCATGTGGGAGTGTCCAGCACCTTAACCACCACGCCACCTGCTGGTCCCAAATACATAATTCTTAAAAAAAAAAAAAAAAAAGTGGGCTCTCTGGCCTGTTCTTATAAAGGAGTAATCTCATTTATAAGGACTCCATCTTTATCCTCTAATTACCTCCCTGAAACTCTACCTACAAGTACCATCAAATTGGTGATTAGATTTCTTTCTTTTTTTAAAAAAATTTTAATTAAATTTTATTTATTATTATTATTATTTTTAATTTGCTGCAGGTTATGCATGCTCACATGGGGGAAGGGGAAGTGAGAAAGTAAGCTGCCAGGTCCAGGACTCAAACCACAGTGAGCCATGTGGGAGTCCAGCACCTTACACTCGCCCATTGGCCCCTGGGTATTAGATTTCAAGACATGAATATTTTTGCGGGGGGGAGGACACACAAATATTTATTCCGCAACAATGTAATTGGTAAAAGCCAAATGGAATACATCATTTGTATATTAATATAATAATGGTTTCTTTGACTTCATCTGATGTTCCCCGTCTCTATTGATTTACTAGCCTAACTAAATGGAAGTCATTTTGATCTTGATATGAATGAAATAAAATATAGAAAATTTTAGTTTTGAAGATTAAAGTGTATTTATTTTTTTCGCTCAATCTTTTCAGTAGATAACAGATGCGGGTGAAAGAGCCAGCTAAAGCTTTTCCTGAGAAAGCCAGAAGAAGTAAAAGGCCTCCAACACCTCATGATGAAGATTCTTCAGACGATATTGCTGGTAAATTGTGACATCTGGCATCCCAAGTAGTCAAGGAAGAGAAATAACAATATGTGTTTTTAATTACTAAATCCATTACTTTTAATTTTCACTGTTTTCTGTGTAAACTTTAGAATCAGTTTATTTAGTTTCAAAAAATCGAATTGTGTTTCTGTAAGAATTTTGTTTAGTTTATAAAATAACTTAGAATTGGCATCTTTTTTTATTTCTTTTTTTGGGGGGTGGGTGTTTACTGTAGGGTGCGTGTGCTTGCCAGAAAGACAGAGACAGAGAGATAGAAAGCAAGAAATCACCCCTGGGGATGGCTATGCCACAATCCCTTCTCCCATTCTCTTCTTGGGATCTTGGGCATGCATGCACATGTGCCCGGCCTGAGTTTAAGTCACTGGGTCCGGGACTCCACCGTGGTTTACTACATGGGAGTCTAGCGACATAGCCTTCACACCAACTGCTGGTCCCCTGTGTCTCTTAGAAGTCTCCAAGCCGTCAAAGGTTTGCAGATGACCCATGGAAGCTGCTGGCCTCAGAACTTGTTTTCTCTTTAGCCTCCTGTGTTAGGTTTTGGCCTCTGAGGATTTTCTTCACTTTCTTGACAATTTAGGTTTCCATTTAAAAGTTGGTTTTAATATATTATTTTCATTTTTAAGTGTTATTAACTTGAGTATGTTTCAAGATAGCTAGTTTGCTGTATTAAGGAAGTCTGAAGTATGGTTGTTTTTTTTTTTTGGAGAGGTTTTTACTGTAGGGCATGTGTGCTCGCCAGAAACACCAAGAGAGACAGAGAGACAGAAAGCAAGAAATCACCCCCAAGGGGGATGGCCATGCCACAATCCCTTCTCCTCCATTCTCCTCCCAGGATCTTGGGCACACATGCACACACGCCTGGTGTGAGTTTAAGCCACCAGGTCCAGGACTCAACCCACTATTGACTACATGGGAGTCCAGCGACATAGCCATTACACCAATTGCTGGTCCCAAGAATTATTCTTATTTAACTTTTTTAAAAAATCTATTTATTTATTTTAATTTGACCAGAGTGGGACAAAGTGAGAGCGAGAACGTGAGAGAGAAAGTGAGAAAGCAATCCACCAGGTCCTGGACTTGTACTGCAGTTGGCCATGTGGAAATCTAGCGCCTTCAACCACCATGCCACCTGCCAGCCTCCTACCTAGCTAGTTTTAGAATATCTGTGTAAGAAAGGGAGGTAGAGCCTTATTAAGACTTAAGCTAAAGGGATCAGCAGATGGTATAATGATTATGTCACTAGACTTCCCCATGGCCAACCACTGTTTGAGTCCTGGACCCGGAGGCTTGAAACTCATGCCTAACTGATTTAAAACCTAACTGATTTAATTTAAGGCCTGGAACTTTTTTATCTTGAGGTCTCATTTGTCTTTGACATCATGAACAATTTCAATTTTAAAAGTCTGAATAGTAGAAACAGAGAATGTTTAAATTGTACCTTAGTCAGATTCCACCCCAGAGATAATATAGAAAGTATGTGGAATGGTTTTCCCTTTAGAATTTTAAAATAAGAAATTCAAACAAAGCAATGGGATTTGGTAAACCATTTCTAGATCTTACATTTGCTGTTCTTTTGTCAGTCTTCTTATGAATAGCCCTTTCTTAATGGTATGATTTCTTATTCAAATGTATGACTTTAGAATTATGCCTTTTTTTTTTTTTTTTTAGTTTTTGCTACAGGGTGTGAGCATTTGGCAGAGAAAGAGGTAGAGAAAGAAAGTGAGAAATCATCTCCTGGGTTAGATGGCTGTGCTGCAATCCCTTCTGTCCCTTTCATCTCCCAGGATTCTGGGCACATGCGTCCAGCTACCGGGCCTAAGACTCAAACCATGGTCGACCATGTGGGAGTCCAATGCCTTAACCACTATGCCACTTGCTCAAGCAAATATTTCTATGTTTTTAAATAATTATTTTATTTAACTGTATTTATTTATTTTAATTTGATCAGAGAGGGACAGAGTGAGAAAGAGAGGGCGAGAGAGAGAAAGTGAGAAAGCAAGCCACCAAGGTCTGGGACTCAAACCACAGTTGGCCATGTGGGCGTCCAGTGCCCTTAACCAGCACGCCACCTACCGGTCCCAATATTTCTATTTTTAAGTCTTTAAGTGGCTTTATTCTTTTCCCAAGAGCACAAATACACTTTCATTTCTCAGAAATACCTGAGCCCTTGGGACCAGCAGTTAGCATAATGACTATGTCGCTGGACTCCCATGTAGTTGACCGCAGTTCGTGTTCCGGACCCGGTGGCTTAAAACTCACGCCAGGCGCAAGATCCCGAGAGGAGAATGGAGGAGAAGGGATTGTGGCATGGCCATGCCCCCTGGGGGGTGATTTCTTGCTTTCTGTCTCCCTGTCTCTCTCTGTCTGTCTGGTGAGCGCACACACCCTATGACAAATACCTGAGCCCTTCCATTTCTCCATCTCTGATAACCCAAATATCACAACTACAATTACTTAACAAAATCAAACAACAAGGTAAGGAAAACAGAAGAAAATAGAGAAGAAAGGATCGTGGTGTGGCCATCCCTCTGTGGGATGATTTCTCACTTTCTATCTCTTTGTCTCTCCAGTGGGCACACATACCCTACACTAAAAATATCTACAAGAAAAAAAATTGCTGAGTTTTGGCTACTTGTCTCCACACATTGTTCACAGTGGGAAGCTGAGAAGCTGTTAAAAAGGATCATTAGGGACCAGACAAAACAATTTATTACTTTGGAATATTCATTAAGGAGAATTCTGAAAATTCTTACTCCTATAAATTTTACTTTTTTTTTTTTTTTTTTTTTTTTTTAGAGAGAGGTTTTTGCTATAGAGCATGAGATTTTTGTGGAGAGACAGAGAGACAGGAGGAAAGAAATTACCCCCTAGGGGAGGATGACCACGCCACAGCTCCTTCTCCTCCATTCTCTTTTTGGCATCTTGGGCATGCACACACTCATGACCAACATGAGTTTTAGGCTACTGGGTCTGGGACTTGAACCACGATTGACTACATGGGAGTCAAATGACATAACCGTTACACCATCTGCTGGTCCCTATATTATACTATTTTTTTCTCTCCTTTCTCTCCCAGATGATGAAAGTAACATCATAGCAAAACTAGTCTATGTGTATCTTAATGGACAGAGAATGCATTCAAAATGCTTGACACAGAGGAGCTGTTTAATAAATATTTAATCTCCTTTATTGATTTATTAAACTTATTTTGGGGCCAACCCATGTCCTGGTGTTTAGGGCAGCTGGATTCCACAAGGTCAACTGCTCAGTTCAATTTTCTGGACCTGATTGTTTAAGAAATATACCAGGTACATGTGAATGCATGCAAAGAATCCTGAAGGAAGGAAAATGAAGAATTAGTGGCATGACCATGCCCCATCAGGCAGGATGGAGGTGCTTTGTCACTTTCTCTTTTTGTCTTTCTCTGGCAGGCATGTGTTCTTTGGCAAATGAAAAAAAAAAAAAGAAAGAAACTTTTAATTAATTAATTAATGATTTCACTGAGAAAAGGAGAGAGAAAGACAAGCACCCTCAAAGGTCTCACATTGCAGCCCTCCTGTCCAGCCTTCCCAGCCAGCCAGGATCACAGGCACATGCGCTTGACATGTACAGATCTGCAACGGGAACCAAACCGATTTCCACATTGCTTTCACCACTGTAAAGTGTTGCATTACTGTTGTACCCCATGGCTGGACCTAAACTTTACGTTTTGAACTAATTCTAGATTCACGATAAGGTACAAAGAAATAAAAAAGAAGTACTATCTTTCACCTATCCTCCCCTGATGTTAATGTCTGGAATTGCTAAGGTGTAATACCCAAACCAGAAAACTGACATTGATACAATCCTTAGCTTATTTAGATTTCACAGATATGTGTGCACCTGTGTCTGTGTGTGTGTGTGCGTGTAGCTCTGTGCAGTTTTATTACACACGTGGCTGTGCATAACCACCAGTCAGGACTCTCCTGTCGCCACCTTGCATGCCACCCATTTACGTCCCCACTCCATCCCCTATCCTTAGCCCCTAGCAACCACTAGCTTGTTTTCCCACTCTGTGATTATGTTGTTTTGTGAATGTTATGAAAATGGACTCGTAGCATATATTCTTTTGAGTTGTTTATTTTTTGAATCTCTGTACTTTTTAATTACCAGCATTTTAATGCTTATTAATGGTAGCATTTTGCTTTAAAAATGACAATGTTCATGTTTTATTTTATCCAGTAGGTTTAACTTGTCAGCATGTAAGTCATGCTGTCAGCGCGAATCATGTGAAGAGAGCAATTGCCGAGAGTCTGTGGTCAGTTTGTTCAGAATGTTTAAAAGAAAGAAGATTCCATGAGGCACAGCCAGTGCTTCCTTCTGATGTTTCATTGTGCCTCAAGTGTGGTTTTCAGGTAAGGAAGTGTCATTTATGTGTGAATTTGTCTTAAACACTTTCCCTAATACTTCCTGTTACTTGATGTATTGGCCACAATGAAACTTAAGATAAATTTATTGTATATTTGCATTGAAAACCTTCAAGAATGAACTTAGAAATGTTTAAGATAAAGTGAAAGAAATGTTATATTCAGAAAGTAATTCAAAAGGGAATCCAACGTACTTGTAGTAGTTCCCATATTTGGAGCTACCTTTACCTTTTGTGTTTACTTAGGAAATTAACTTTTTAGACTCATATTTTTTTCTCTCTCAAAAGGGATTATCCTGCTTTTTTGGGTAAAGTATTGATAATGTATCTTAAAGTTTAAAAGTGGTCAATATCTATAATAAAAGGAATTTCTAACAAAATTAGAAGTATATGCATTAAAAAAAATAAGTGGAATCTTGGGACCAGCAGATGTAATGGTTACATCGCTGGACTCCAGTGTAGTTTACTACTATGGTTCGAGTCCCAGATCTGGTGTCTTAAAACTCATGCTGGGTGCCTTTGAGTGCATGCCTGCCCAAAATCCTGAGAGGACAGTGGAGGATAAGGGATTGCAAGGTGGCCATCCCCTCCGGAGGGGGTGATTTCTCACTGTCTGTCTCTCTGTCTCTGTCTCTCCAGCAAGCACATGCACCCTATAGCAAAAATCTCTATCTCAAAAAAAAAAATTGTTATTTCATATAGAAAGTTGAAAAGTAGGGTCACTTCAGGGTTAGTTAATTCAATGGAAAGAACATTAAAAACAGATTTCTACTGTTTATCTGCTGTGCCATCCTTATAGTTTCAGGATGGCAAAGATGCTTCAGGCATTTTCTATCACACAGTAATCTCCAAAGCTCATGAGAAACAAACAAATAAACAAAAAAATAGCACATCTCTTCCCTGTGTTCCTTTTAAAAATATGTAAAAATTTTCCAGAAATACTCATCAGTCTTGACTTCCCCTCATGTTATATTAACCAGAATTATATCTCATTTCCTTCCTTACGTCATGAAGGAAAGTACTGTGATTGGTCTGTTTCTCAGGGTTGAAGTAGAGGTGTTTTCCAGATTGGGAAATGTGTGCTTGGGGGAGGGGCACTACTGTTTACCAGGATGCTCAGTGTCCCACAGTGTGCAAGACAGACAGTTTTTACATTTTTAAATAATAGGGAAATTAATTGCCCATAATCACTTTAGGGAAATACTATATAACAAAAAGCAAGTTACCACCGCTTGGCAGTAAGTTGAATTTAATGAGAATCTACATTGCTTTCTGAAACTTTTACTTTCTGCTTGAAATTAAAACCAAAATAAAACTTATTTTTTTTTAGTTTGAGTATGATTTAAATTTTGAGTTATTTAAACCAATTTATATGTAAATCATACAAATAACATTCTGTTCTTCTTAAGGGATGTGGTAAAAACTCAGAAAACCAGCATTCATTGAAGCACTTTGAGAGTTCCAGAACCCACTGTATTATAATTAACCTGAGCACATGGATTATCTGGTAAGCTTAATTTTGATAGTACTGTGTCCATTACCAAAAAACAAAAACAAAATAATCCTCCAGCCAAACACAAAGCAGCTTTTTCTTTAAACTTTCTAAGGTAAGTTATTTTAAAATGTTATACCAATTCGGGACCAGCAGTTAGCGTAATGGCTATGTCACTGGACTCCCACGTAGTCGACTGTGGTTCGCTTCCCGGACCCGGTGGCTTAAAACTCATGCTGGGCGCGTGTGCGTGCATGCCCAAGATCCAGAGAGGAGAATGGAGAAGAAGGGATTGCGGCGTGGCCATCCCCCCTGGGGGGTGGTTTCTCGCTTTCTGTCTCTCTGTCTCTCTCTGTCTTTCTGGCGAGCGCACATGCCCTATAGCGAAAACCTCTCCAAAAATAAAAGAAAAAAAAATGTTATACCAACTTTGTATTTTTTTTAGCCTGCATGCAAACTATGAGACAATTTAGGAAAATTAATATTACCCATAAATTTAAAATTTAAATTAGAAAAAATTTAGTTATCCCTCTACTTTTCTCTAGCACTCTCTTTTGCATCATAAGGAAAAAGTCATTCTTTCTAGCTAAATTTTCATAATGAACTTGCTAATACAGAATTCGAGAGCTTTAGAGGAGGAAGGTGCTTCAAGCAGGCAACTGGTTTGGTGATTCTCAGTAGGTTAGAAGAGAAAACCTGGGCTTAAGTAGTCTGCAGAAACTTTTCAGGTGATTCTGCTACTTAACCCTGACTGAGAACCAAGTCCAGTTCTCTTCTTTTATGGTAAGGAAATAGTATCATTTACTTTTTTTGTGGTGATGAAGTAAAAATTCAGACATTAAGACAAGTTTATTGATTCTCTAGTTTCTTACCAGCATAGCACAACAGTGATGTAAGTGAATGTGGTATTGAAATGTTTTCTCTGTATTTTACAATTCTTTTCAAACTATAATTTGCAGAGTCCCAGGGTTACTTGAATGAATTTTCAGGATGCTTCAAGTTTTCTTTTTCTTTTTTTTCTTTCCTTTTTTTTTTTTTAACTTTACTCTCTTATATCAGAGGACAGAGATTGGAAGAGAGTGAGAAAACACTTTCCAATGGGACGTCACCATGCTGTCATCCCTCCTCCTCTATTTCTTCATCCTGTCTGGATTTTAAGCATGGATGAACTGAGTGAATACTCAGCATGTATTTCAATCTATGTTTTCAAGCCCCTGGGCCAGAATTCAAACTGTGCGTGGCCCTGTGGGCTCTGGTTCCCTTAACTACTAGGCCATGGGGCTGGCCCCCGATTTTCTTTAAGACAAAAATATTTTCACAGGGTTAAAAAATTAATATAGGGGCCAGCAATTAGTGTAATGGCTATGTCGCTGGACTCTCATGTAGTCAACCGCGGTTCGAGTCCCGGACCCAGTGGCTTAAAACTCACGCCGGGTGCATGTGCGTGCGTGCCCAAGATCCCGAGAGGAGAGTAGAGGAGAGGGGATTGCAGCGTGGACATCCCCTCTGGGGGGGTGATTTCTTGTTTTCTGTCTCTCTGTCTCTGTCTGGCGAACGCATGCACCCTATGGCAAAAACCTCTCAAAAAAATTAATATAGAGATATCCCATAAGAAAAATGATTGTCTCATAATTTAATATAGTCACCGGGGCTGAATGTTTGCAGCATTTGTGTTTTTGTCGTTGTTGGCCTCAAGCAGTAGTACTGAAGAGAATAAGGGAAGAAGAGAGCGAACTTAAGATGTTAAGTGAGGCACTGGAGCCAAGAGAGAGGAGGAGGGTGTCACAGTGTGGCAGCTCAATAAAGATTTCACGGTAGTGGTCTCAAACTGTGGGTACATCTGAAATACTGAGAAGACTTGATAAGATGGATTGCTTCATCCCAGGCCTAGAGGTTCCGATTTAGCAGGTCTGGGGTAGGGCCTGAGAATTTGCATGTCTAACTGGTTTCCACATGTTGCCAGTGCTGTGACCTGGAGACCACAATTAGAGAATCACTGAAATAGAAAAAAGTGAAAGAAGAATTGAGTGACACTGTAGAATAGGCTCATTTCAAGTGAATCTGTTGTACCTCTTAGGACCCTAATTATGGTATGAATGGAGATTTATAGGATTAAAAATATGATGAATTTGTTGAGTTTCATGAGTAGAGACAGAGAGGCAAAAAGCGAGAAATCGCCCCCCCCCCCAAGGGGGATGGCCACGCCACAATTCCTTCTCCTCCATTCTCCTCTCAGGATCTTGGGCACGCATGTACACGTGCCTGGTGTGAGTTTAAGCCACTGGGTCCAGGACTCGAATAGTGACTGACTACAGAGTTCAGCGACATAGCCATTATGCCAACTGCTGGTCCCAAGGCTGGTATGTCTAATTATATTGTTTATTAAGAAGAAACATCTTGGTACTGTATGTAATAATGAGTAAACTTGACGATAGTTTTCTGAAATGGAATATGCTTTTGAAAAATCTCTTCTGAACCTCCTCTAAATAAGCCCCCAACAAGGTAAAACAGCTATCTCTTTTTATTCTTTCCCTTTTCTATAATTGGCACTTAGCAGTTAAACTAGAGACCTGGCAGTTATTCTTTTTCTCTTATTTATTTATAAGAGAGTTTTGCTACAGGGTATGTGCACTCTCCAGAGAGACAGAGACAGAAGGCAGAAATCACCTCTGGGGAGATGGCCATGCTGCAATCCCTTCTCCTCCCATCTCCTCTTGGGATTTTGGGCCCACACACATACACCTGTTGTGAGTTTTAACCTGCGGGGTCTGAGACTTGAACTGTGGTCGACTACATGAGGGTTCAGTGATATAACCATTATGCTATCTGCTGGTCCCTATCTTATTTTTAGCTTTTTTTTTTTATTTTTAAAGAGATATTTTTTCTATAGGGCACGTATGCTCGTTGGAAGAACAGAGAGAGACAGAGACAGAAAGGAGAAATCACATCCCTCCCCCAGGGTGGATGGCCACACTGCAATCCCTTCTCCTCTACTCTCCTCTCAGGATTTTGGGCATGTATACACATGCACCCTATGTGAATTTTAAGCCTCCAGGTCCAGGACTTGAACCGTGGTCAAGTACGTGGGTATCCAGTGATATAACCATTACACCATCTGCTGGTCCCTATTTTTTTAAAGCTTTTTAACAAAAGTAGACAAAAGGGTATAATGAATTTTTCTGTACCCATCACCTGGTTTTAAACATAATTAACTTAGAGTGAATGTCATTTTATCTAGACTAGGGTTTCTGCACTGTTGGCATTTGGGCTGTTAATTCTTGGCCGAGTGATAGTTCTTTGTTATGTCATTCTCTACATTACAAGACCTTTAGCAGCATCTCTGGCCTCTTACCACCTGATGCCAGTAGCAGCCATGAGACAACCAAGAATGTTCTCAAACATTGCCAAATGTCTTCTGGGGGTCAGGATTGTTTTTGGCTGAGAATCATTGATATAACTTCACCTGCTTCTCACCTCCCATAACAGTTATTTTGACATTTCTCTCTTCCTCATCTTTTATGTTTAATTCATTGCTTTTTCTGCCTGAAATATATGTGTAATAAATATGTCCACTTTTCTATAGATCCACTACTCCAGATCAGCTACTATGCTGATCTATTTCTAGTTCTTATGTCTCCCAAACTAGTTTATCACATTACTCAGAGTGATATTTTAAAAATATAAATGGGAGGAGCTGGCAGTGATGTGGTAGTTAAGGGCGCTAGACTCCCACATGGCCGACCATGGTTCAAGTCCTGGACCTGGCAGCTTGCTTTCTCATTTTTCCTCTCTCTCTTTTTCTCTCTTACTCTGTCTTCTTTAGTCAAATTAAAATAGATAAATAAATAAATAAAGGTAAATAAAATAATTATTTAAAAAATACAAATTGGATCACATCACTGCCCCACTTAAAACCACCCTCATGGCATTCCATTAAACTTAAGATAAACTGCCATGTTCCTTGGTACTATAAGGCTCTGTATGAACTGTCCCCTCTTCTTTCTCTAGACTATCTAGTGCCTTCTACATTGTATTCTCATGTAATTTAAAGACAAGGGTGGTTAACACTAATGTCATTGCCCAGTGTGCAAAGTTATTGAAGGTGCTTTTGTAATATTTAATTACATTTTTGCAGGTGTTATGAGTGTGATGAAAAATTATCAACACATCGTAATAAGAAGGTTTTGGCTCAAATAGTTGATTTTCTCCAGAAACACGTTTCTAAAACACAAACAAGTAAGTAAAGCAATTGCTAAAGAAATTTGTAAAATAGCTTTTTCATACTTCATATGAAAGTTTATAAATTCATAATGAGTACCTTAGATTTTATTGTGACAGCCAGTCTTTAATTCGAGTAGTTTAAGATATTATGAATGTCACACATTAGGAGACAATCTTGTGATGTTGTCATATTTTTGCATAACCAATAGGAGACAATGAAGTGTATAATAGCTAGATTATGGGCTTTTAAGTCAGACATCTCTAAGTTTGAATTTAGCCTTTCCCACTTAGTGGTGGTTACTTTTTTGTTTCTTAACTAAAGATGATCATTTTATCTTGTGGGGCTGTTGTGAGGCTTAGAAATAATATTCTCTGAAGATTTAGAAAACAGGGCATGTAAAAATACTTGTTTAGTGCTTAGCACATATTTATGAAATGATCACTGTTATTATTTGTTACATAATTACAGTGAAGTTTTTTTTTTGGGGGGGAGAGGTGTTTTTGCTATAGGGCGCGTGCACTCGCCAGACAGACAGAGAGAGACAGAGAGACAGAAAGCGAGAAATCACCCCCCGGGGGGATGGTCATGCCGCAATCCCTTCTCCTCCATTCTCCTCTCGGGATCTTGGGCACGCACGCACACACGCCCGGCGTGAGTTTAAGTCACCGGGTCCGGGACTCAAACCGTGGTCAACTATGTGGGAGTCCAGCGACATAGCCATTACACTAACTGCTGATCCCTACAGTGAAGTTTTGACATTTACCACCTGGAGTTAGATCAAACTCAATAGACTGAACTCAGTTGCCCACAGGACTGCCTTCACTTCAGACACCCTCAATAAACTCAAAGTTTCCCAGCCCATTACATTTCTGAGCTACTGGCTACAAATTTTGTAGTTTGACAATTTTCTAGATGATTTAGAGAACTCAGGAAAGTGCATTATAGCAAAAAAAAAAAAAACAAAAAAAAAAGATAGAAATCAGGGCCAGTCAAAAGAAGAGATCCATAGAACAAGGTCTGGGAGGGTCCCAAACATGAAGCCTTGGGTTTTTTCTTTTGTTTGTTTTGTTTTGTTTTTGGCTACAGGGTGCTCATGCTCACTGGAGAGAGACCCATAGAGAATATGGGTGAGAAAGTGGAAAAGCATCCTTAAATGGGGATGGCCATGCCACAATCCTTTCTCCTCTACTCTCCTCTCGTGATTTTGTGCCCAGCATGTTTTTCAAGTTGCCAGGTCTGGGACTAGAACCACATAGTTGGCTATGTGGGACGGTGCGGCCTTAACCTAGAACCACCGAGTTGGCCATGTGGGATGGAGTGGACTTAACCACTATGGCACCAACTGACCTGAATGAAGCTTCTCCCTCACAGGGAGTGAGGATGCCTATTCTGCACCCTCCTGTCCTATATGGATAGTAACAATACATATGGTATTGTTAACCAGGGCATCTTACCAGAGCATTGGTGTCTAGTTTTTATTGGGGTTTCACTACATAGACATGATTGATTGAATCATTAGCCACATCAATTTAGGTCAATCTCCAGTACCCCAACCCTTAATCACATAGTTTTTCTGGCATGACTGGTATCCATCTTGAGTCATTTCTTGTTTAGGACCCCACTATGAATCACTTTAACATTAAACCATCAAGTGTAGTCTGAGGGACACATGGTGAATAAATGCCACTCCTGTCACTTTGGGAATTCTGAGGAGTTAGAGTACTACCCTGGAACCTGGGACAAAGGCAAGCCAAAATTCTTTACTTTACAACAATAAATGTATTACATATTTCTCAAATTATATACTTTGTTAATGTTTTAGTTGTTTTTACATTGGTAACAGAGTTACCTGAGACTGAGTTTATGAGAATAGAGATTTATTTTGACTCACATTTCTGATGGCTGCAATGTCCAAATACATCACCAAAAAAGGAAAGGCAGAATTTTCTTTTTTCAAAAGAATTATTTTATTTAACCTTGTTTATTTATTTTAATAAGATCAGAGAGGGACAGAGTATGTGTGTGTAAGAGAGAAAGAGAGAGAGAAAGTGAGAAAGCAAGCCACTAAGTCTAGGACTTGAACTGCTGTTGGACTCAAACCATGGTCAGCCATGTGAGAAGGGATTGTGGTGTGGCCATCCCCCTTGGGGGGTGATTTCTCGCTTTCTGTCTCTCTGTCTCTCTCTGTCTGTCTGGTGAGTGCACACGCCCTATAGCAAAAACCTCTTAAAAAAAAAAAAAAAAAGAAAGAAACCATTGTTTTGGACTAAACTCCTGTTCTAGGGCCAAACAGACCAGACCAAACTGAAGTCGCTCGTGCTAAAATGTCTCATCATTGAACTGAAACTTTAAGGACAAAATAGATCCCAAGTTAGATCAGTTTTTCTCAAAAACAGGATTCCAGCTACCTCAATCAGCACCACAAGAAAACAAAATGTATGACATCTGTGGCTTTCTTAGGAATGTATCTGAAATAGTTCAAAAGAAAAATTTAAAAAGAAACTAAAAAGTTACATAGAAGTATAATTGCCAGCTGTATTTTCTATAGCCCACAGTTGTTTTCAATAGCTGTCATCCTCTCTCTTCTTTTAAAGAATTATATATTTAATCTTATTTATTCATTTATTCATTTATTCTAATTTTACCAGGGAGAGAGAGACACATGGTGGTGAGAGGAGTAAGAAAGCAAGCCACCAGATTCGGGACTCGAACTGTGGTCACCCATATGGGAGTGTCCAGCACCTTAACCACCACACGACCTGCTGTCCTGCTATCTGTCATCTAATGAGATAGTAATGATGAAGAAAGTAGAGAAACTAGAGATGATAGACTTAGATTTATGGCATTCTTACTCTGTTCCAAACACACTAGTCATAGTTCCAGTGTTGCTGTGGAAGAACCCAGAAAATGTGGTGAAAGACATTTAATACTTCAGAAACTGGTTTTAATGCTGCCCTTAGAAAATTACCTAGTAAATTTGCTTGTTGACCATAAGAAGAAGATACGCAGGGATATGATACCGAAGGTGATGAAAGTACAAATTATTATTATTATTATTATTTTTTACTTTAGAGGTTCCTTGAGGTTAAGAACAAAGCCAATCTGATTACTGCTTTGTGTTATAGTCTTGAATATTTATTACAAAAAGGGTGCTAGGAATAAAGCATGGACTAGAAAGGACACAGACTTGGAGTCAGGGCAGTCTGGCATTTAGAGCTGACTTCTCTGTGATCACTGCTTGTGACGGTGGGCAAATTACAGCTTTATCTGAGCCTCAATTTTCTTTAGCATTTTCTTGTCTTTCTTGTGATGCTCAATGGAATAGAGATGGATGACAGTTTCTATCTGTAAGAGGCTTAAGATCTGAAAGAAAGCATGAAATTTTTTTAGATTTACTTTTACTAATTTTATTTTTTAATTTGACCAGAGAGAGACAGGGAGAAAGCTAGAAAGCAAGCAAGCCACCAGGTCTGGGACTTGAACCTTAGTCACTTATGTGCTAGCTACCAGTACCTGCTAGCTCCAATAAGGTTTCTATTTTAAGTGAGGTTCAAAGTCCTTCAAATATTCAAAGAGGGATGTAACATTCAGTTGAAGGGAACTGAAAAGGAATTATTGATGAACTTGTTTTCAAGCTGACTCTTACAGGATAAACTTTGGGCAGGTGAAGATAAGAGAAGAAATCATGTCAGGTGGTGGGAAGCACAGATTTAAGTCTTAACTGTGTTTAAGGACCCATGAGTAGCACTGGAATGGTGGGAAACAGTCTTGAGGTAGTTTGAGGGTGGGTAGAGCTTTCAAAATTAGGGACCTAGTTCTGAGGTTTATGTTTTCCAGAAGACCTAGGGCAAAATGTCATTGTCTTTGTGGGTCAAGCTACAGGATCTCACAGGCAAGTTTGATGTAAAATAAGATCCCTTGGAATTCTAGCAGTAAATGTTTGGGGAAAAGTAATCGGCTATACTCTTTCTTGTGCAAAGCTTCAATATTTTTTTCATAATCTATTAATACTTTGAAAATCAGATATGAAAGTTGTTATTGAAATTTGTAAGAAAGCTGGGCATGATTTTGGAGTTTTTTAAAATGGTAATTGTGAAAACTATAAAATTGTAAAAATGACTGCATATGATAATTCAAAAGGAATATTAACCGGTATATAATGTGTTTACATAGGAGGTTAAGAATGATTTTTAAAGATTACTTTTACAGTTTTGCAAGTAGGTAAAAATAACTGTACCTATACCTTAGACACATTTTCAAGTTATTCAATGCCTGGACTAATTTCATTTTCAATACATCTGATATGGTTTATCCAGAGAATCTAGTCCCATTCTACCTCTTAAAAACAACTAACTCAGTGAATTTTATAATTTTGGTCTCAGTTTTGAACAATTAATGAGACCTTAAAGAACTTTGGTTATATAGGTTATATCTATCAAGATTTATCTGATTAGAAATTAAGACACAAACTTAAATATTCACTGAAAATTAGTAATTACCTGACATTAGCACAAATAATCATATTTTTAGGAAGGATAAATAAAAAAAAAACCTTATATTTAGTGAAGTTTAATTGAGCAAATCTTAACATGATTCAAATAGGACAGCAAAACACAAAATTTTATGAGTGGCATTGTTTTACATGTTTATAAATATGTTTAATGTCTGGCTTAGTAGAGAACAGCTGGATTCTCATGTGTGCTTCTGTGTTCAATCTTTTATGTTATCCTGTAAGCCACTGGAAAACTGCACCATATTTTGATTGAATGAAAGTTAAAAAAAAACTATTAACACCTTTGGCTTATGAAAATACTTTTGACCTTAAGGACCATGGAAAAGAATGTCTTCAGATCCAGTTTGAGAACTGCATGCACATTTCTGTCTTTATATTTTTCATCTTCAGTCTTATTTATTAAGGTTCAGGTCAAATCCTACTTCTAGGATGATTTCCCAGTCTTTATCTCTTCCTTGGCCCTCAGTGTCCACACAGCACACTTATTTGCTCATTTAGTCT